TTTTTTTCCCTCATTCTAAAGGCCTGATGTTAAAGTAGGATTTAATAATAATGATTGGTTTGGGTCTGAAACAATTCCAGAAATTATAAACATTAACCACTGTTTTATCAGCATCTGCCCCCAGTCAACTAAAAAATATCATCAGCAGCAAGGAGCCAATGTTTGGAGACAGTAGAACTTTAAACTCATTAAACAGCTAGTGCATTTTGACCCAAACAATAGATGTGTTGCATATATTTGCAAATGGCACAACCCTCTCTCATACACATCCTAAGTGCCTACCTAATCTGCAGTACAATTACCACCACCAGGTAGCAGTGAGTTTCTGAGAACTAGGCTCCACAGGGATTTCAATGGCTGTGATCGAACCTTTCTTTCAAGGTATCTCTGGAGAGGGATTCAAACTGCCAATCTTTCGATTAGTACTTGACTGTTTGCACCACCAGGGTCTCCTTGATATACAGTAGATATCAAACATAAAGTCACTGACTGAAATATGATTTCACTTGCTTCACAAGTTGGACTATAATAAACTACTGTCAAGATGTTCAGTCTCTCTGAGCTTCAATGCTTTGTCAAGAGAGAAATGTACATGAAGTACCTATCTAAAGAGTGCCTGAAGCAGAGCAGATTTTCAATAAACAGCAGCTCTTATGATCTCCTCTCATCCACTCATTTCACCCTAAAGGGGTAACCTTTGCTAAAGCACTACCAATGCTGGAGTTCAGGCTGGAATCGGGGTCTCCCCAAATGGGAAGTCAGAGGTGTAGGCAGGCTGGTGGGAGGCACAGACTGATGCCTGTAAGTCCATGAAAAGTCCTTACCACTTCATGTAGAGTCAGTAAGATGTCACCATGTAAAATTCAGGATTGTGTTACTTGCACAGCTAGAAATGTCAAGGGCCCACATGACAACTACATTATATCTGAATTTGCACTATTGTGAGCTACTTCTAAAAGTACCCATCATATTTAAAATTAAGCTTTTTAAAACTGGGAGGAACTTACAAGATTACACTAAGTTTGAGGCCCTCATTTAATAGCTAGGAAAATTTAATTAACATACTTTAGGACAAAGGGGACAGCTAGCCATGGTTCTTTTTCTCAGCATTATGTGCCACTTAAAAGCACACAAGATGTGAAACTTACAGGGGCGATTCTACCTAGTTTGATGTAGGGCACAGTGAAGCTCAGCTGTTCTCATAAAGGACAAATATCAAACATCTAAGCTCATGGAAATAACTATAAATACATCACCAATGAATTACTTAAATCCTTATCCTTATGTGATGATAAAAGGCTCTGCTTTCTAACATATTAACTCATGAGATTTACTCTAGTTATCTTACTGTTAGAGAACTAGAATATGTTCTTATTATATAATCAGTTCGTTATTATAGTTATCTCAAAATATATTTTGGGCACAAAATATATTGTAAGATAACTAGACTAAGTCTCAATTTATGAGTTAAGATGTTAGAAAACAGACTTTAATCTTGGGTACCAAATATATTGTAAGAAAACTAGAATAAAGAACTGATTATAATCTTTCTTGGTTACTTTCCTAGAAGCATTAAGATAAAACAAACAAACAAACAAACAATATGACAAATGATTCCACTTCCCCAACAAGTTAAGTAATATGTTGGAAAATTGTAAGACTTACTGTAGCTTTAAATACTTTATCCAAGTTTACATCTTCATTATTCCATATTCTCAAAACCTTAAATAAAAATACACAAGTTAAGTATCCCATTCACCATTTAAACATATAATCAGCAATATTTGATTCAGGTGTTGTATAGCCACAGTACTGCATCTCCATTTGTGGACTCACAGTGACCCTGCACAGGGTTTCTGAGGCTGTAAATCTTTATGGGAGCAGAGCGCCTCATCTTTCTCCTGCGGAACAGCTGGCAGTTTAAAACTGCTGACCTTGCAGTTCGCAGCCTGATTCATAACCACAACACTACCAGAGCTCCTTTATAACTCCTCATTCTCCATTTAAACATATAATTGACAAACGTATTTAATAAATCATTATCTTATTTCTGTGTATATGAAGACTTACCTTATTATCATGGACAACAATATACTCTCCAGTTTGAAAGTTGCACACAGCTGGACATGTTATAACTTGACCTTGCTTCACTGACCAGCTCCCCAAGGGTTTCTGATCAGAAACCTAAAGAAATTTAAGATTAACTTTAATATTCAGAAAATAAATTGCAGACCTTAAAAGACATTTAATCAAAACAAAAGAAGTCACTAGATTTTCTAAATGAAAAAAAAAAAATTCTTAAAATGAAAGTTTCTAATTAAAAAAGTAAAGTAAATCAACAAAACTTTGCCAATACACATTAGTAAATTTTAAAGTTGTTTCCAGTTTGCCTTTGAAAATCAAAATATCAGCCTGTTGAACACACAGACAATCTGATCAAGGATATGGGAAATTTGGTAGATAGCAGGAATTAGCCACTATTTTCTTTTCCATGAATTGCAAAACTGCAAATTCCTTTGATTATTCAGGAAAAAGTTAATCATTTAATCAGATGAGAGCAAACAAGCAACAATAAATTTCCTCAGAACTTCAGGGCAGACAGATGGCATCTTAAAGACTATGAAAAATATGTTCAGTAGGTCCAATAAAAATAACTGCTTTCTACAGAGCACTAACAGTCCTGGTGTGCCACTGCAGCCTAATGTGCTGGACTGGAAGGTCAGCTTGGGCCACACGGCCGGCAGTTCAAATCCAACAGTTGCTCCTCAGAAACCCTATATAGGGTCACTATGAGCTGGAACTGACTCGAGGGCACTTCACAACAAGAGCAATAAAACCAAAGCTGGTTAGAGGGTATTAGCTGTCAAGCTGAAAAGGGGGGTAGGGCACATAGATTTCTACAGCCTCAGCTCCCTACTTATAAGCTTGAACTAGAGTTGCAAACATACAGGCCCTCAGATTCAAAATATGCACCATGCTATCAAAAAAAGCATTTTCCCCTAAGAAGAGAAGAGATGAAGTATACAGTTGTTAGGGGCCATGCAGTGGCTCTGACTCTAGCCATCCTGCGTACAGAGAAGAAAACACTGCCTGGTCGTAGGTCATCACTGTGGCCCTGCTTGAACCCAAATGCTGTCACTGTGTCAATCCAGTCTGTTGAGGGGCTTCCTCTTTTTCACTGACCCTCTACTTTCCAAGCATGATGTTCTTCTTCCAGGGATCGCCCCTCCTGATAACATGACCAAAGCGTGTATGTGGCCAAGTTTCACCGTACTGTCTTCTAAGAGCATTCTGGCTGTGTGTCTTTCAAGGCAGACTTGTTTCTTTTCCTGGTAGGCCATGTTGTTGATGTTAAGTGCTGTTTGGTCAGCTCCGAAGGAGCTCTGGTAGTGTAGTGGTCAGCAGTTCGAAACTACCAGCTGTTCCGCAGGAGAAAGATGAGGCTTTCTGCTCCCGTAAAGATTTACAGCCTCGGAAACCCTGTGCGGGGTCACTGTGAGTCGGATCGACTTCATGGTACTTTAACAACAAGTCAGTTCTGACTCAGCTGGTGGGTTAGAACCGCTGACCTTGTGGCTAGCGTCACACCAGGACTCCACGGAATACGTTGCTGTAAGTGCCATCGAGTTACTTCAGACTGATAGCAACCCCGTTCTTTGCCAACTCCATAATCTAAACACATCAACACTTATCTGGTCGTCCTTATTCACAGGCATATGTTGTTGTTGTTAAGTGCTGTGGAGTTGGTTCCACCGCCTAGCGACCCTGTATAGGGTTTCCAAGGAGAGGCTGGTGAGTTTGAACCGCCGACCTCGCGATCGAGTGCTTATCCTACAGCGCCACATCAGGACTCCCTCATGTACATGAGGCTTGCATCTGGTGCACCTTCAAGACATCTTTCCGTTGTAACACTTTAAAGTGACATTTTCCGAGTCTCGGGCAGAGTATCTAAAGGCACGAGGAAAGGAATTCTGTCATCCCAGCCACCAACCGATGGGCCAGGCGCGAGAGGATGACACCGACAGGGTGGAGCAGTGGGTAGACCCAGGACTCACCCGTTTCCACCCAACCAATCTCCGCTCGACCCTTCGCTGAGGTGACAAGAGCCCCAGAGGGACTCTAACAAGAGCATATCGGGAGATCCCGAGCGAAAGCACTGGCTTCCTTTCCTTCTGAGGCCAACCCACGTGCCCTGAGAGTCTACACCCGAACTCGGAAACATGTTTCTCTACAGAAAAAGCTTCCGAGTCAGATTCTGGACCTCATTCATCGTCCCGAAGAGGCCAGCTCTTTGCGGCTCCACGATCTCCTTCCGAAGTTTGCTAGAAACCAGAGCCTCCGGCTCCGCGTTCCGATAGGGGCGGAGTGACAGCTGGGACGCCCCGACTCTATCGCCCTCACCTTATAAAGGATGACAGTCCTGCCACTGTCTGTCACCAGAAACTGGTCTGTTTTGTCGCTCTGTTCCACGCCTAGAAGTCCGTCAGGCCCAGATCCCAAGGGTACCCCAGACAACGTGAATTCTTCCTCCAGGGCTGCCATCTTGGGCAAACCTATGGACAGCAGCGCATCCTTCCCGGCAGGCCTCGCGCTTTCTCTCGCGAGAAAAACCTGGCCCGGTGGATTGGGCAGTTTCGAAATGAAAAACGAGCTCTCGGAACCCGCGACCCCTGGCGGACAGAAGAGGCAGTGGAGCGGCGGAAAACGTCAGTGGGCGCGGTCTTGGGCTGGCCCTGGTAATTTTAGCCCAGACTCCTCCTCCCCAGGCCGCGCCTCCCCATGAGTCCCGGATGTGCTCTTTTCTCGGGGAGGTGGGTGGAGTTTTTCCTTTAACGTAAAGAATCTGACACGTCCCATCTGGGCTTGGGCAGTGGCTGACTGAAACTACACTGTTATTTGACCTAATGTAAACCTTCTAGGAATTGCTAGTATGACTTAGTGGGACAATGTGCAAAAAAGCCCCCCCAAATTTAGCTATGTGTAGAACTGTGCTCCATAGGGTTTCAATGGCTGATTTCCTACCACTACCCCCCAAAGTAGATCGCCAGGGCTTTCTTCTGAGGCGTGCCTGTCTGGACTCGAACATCCAACCTTTTTGTTAGCAGCTGAGCTCATCAACTATTTACACTACCCAGAGATTCCATCTCTTCAGAGACAGCCTCATTAACAAGCTGTTTTTAAACAAAATGCCTAATTTGCCCAGCTCCTCAGAAACCACCACAAGTAACCATTTTCTGTGGCCTATCAGGTGTCCCGGGTGGTCATTGTCTCCCCTTGTCTTAGCACTAGCAGCAAGGTCTCTTCCAGCTAACAGAAAAATCAAACTAGTCTGACTAAGGTGAAGTCAAAGTCCGCTAATCAATTTTTGTTGTTGTTAGGTGCCTTCAAGTAGGTTCTGCCCCATAGAGACCCAATGTGTAACAGAACGATACTGCTGATTCCGTGCTATTCCCACAATTGTTACACTTCAGTCCCTCATTGCTGCTGCCACCGTGCCAAGCCATCTCCATAGGGGTCTTCCTCTTTTTCACTGACCCTCTATTTTACCAAGCATGATCTCCTTCTCCAAGGACTGGTTCCGCCTGATACCATGTGGGAACTATGAGAGAAAGTCTCATCATCCTGGCTTCCAAAGAGCATTCTGACTGTACTTCCAACACAGACTGGTTTGTTCTTCTGGCAGTCCATGGTACTTTCAATATTCTTCTCCAACACCATAACTCAAATGCATCCATTCTTCTCCAGTCTTCATTATTCGTTGTCCAACTTTTGGCAAGACTTAAATTCCAGGAGGTATTTGTGTTTCTAAGACCAGTAAGTCTAATAAAATCAATAATATAAATATTCAGAGTAAGATAAATCATGCGTGTTCTTAGAGAGAAACTATCAATAGGCAATTACTAAACAAACTGAAATACTGCAAAATGATTTCATATCAATTTAGATTATGCCTTCACAAGGACAGTCTTCATCACCCACAATATGGCTGGTATCGTTGGGTCCATTTTTGACTGATAGCGACCCCATGTGACAGACTAGAAGAATTGCTCGTAGAGTTTTCTTTTTCTTTTTTTTAAGGGTTGGACTATGGGTAGGTCTAGTCTAGAGTCCTGGTGTGGTGCTGTAGGATAAGCACTGAACTGCTAGCCGATAGATCAGCAATTCAAATCCAACCAGCAGCTTCTTGGAAGCCTTATATATGGACCCCATGAGTTGGAACCAACTTGAGGGCACTTAACACACACACACACACACACACACACACACACACAGGGCTTGTCTAGACCTAGGGTTTCCTTTAGTGTTAGTGTTATGATTAGGACTGGAGTTCATATTAAGGGTAGGAATTGAGCTAGGGCTAGGAGCAGGGCTCAGTCTAGTTTTAGGGTTACAGTTGTTTGTAGTGTGTACCAACTCATAGTGATCTACACACAACACATTGACACACTGCCCGGCCCTGTGCCATCCTCACAATTGTTGTTAAGCTTGAGTTGCTGTGATTCTGGAAACTATGCCACCACTATTTTAAATACCAGCAGGGTCATACATGGTGGACAGGTTTCAGATGAGCTTCCAGAGGAAGACAGACTAGGAAAAAGGAGTGACGAACTACTTCCGAATATTTAGTTACTTAAAACCTTATGAATAGCAGAGAAACACTGTCAGATATAGTGCTGGAAAATGAGCCCCTCAGGCTGGAACACACTCTAAATATGGATCTTGGCTGAAAGCAGAGAATATCAGAAAGATATTTAGCTGTGCTTTATTGACTATGCAATAAAGCTTCCATGAGTGTTAATGGTTGATGGTGGATCCAAGCAAAATGAAGTCTTTGACAACTTCTATCTTTTCCCCATTTATATGGATGTTGTTTATTGGTCCAGTGGTGAGGATTTTTGTTTTCTTTACATTGAGATGCAGCCCATACTGAAGGCTGTGGTCTTTGATCTTCATCAGTAAGTATTTTAAGTCCTCAGCAAGCAAGATTGTATCATTTGCATATCACAGGTTTTAATGAGTCTTCCTGTAATCCTAATGCTATGTTTTTCTTCATATTATCTAGCTTCTTGATTATTTGCTCACATACAGATTGAATAAATATGGTGAAAGAATACAACCCTGGCGTACACCTTTCTTAATTTTAAGCCATTCAGTGTCACATTGTTCTGTTCGAACGTTTGCCTCTTGGTCTATATGCAGGTTCCTCATGAGCACAATTAAGTGTTCCGGAATACTCATTCTCCACAATATTGTCCAGAGATTGTCATGATTCAACAATCAAAAGCCTTTGCATAGTCAACAAAACACAGGTAAACATCTTTCTGGTATTCTCTGCTTTCAGCCAAGATCTATCTGACATCAGCAGTGATATCCCTTTGTTCCACGTCATCTTCTGAAACTGGCTTGAACCTCTAGAAGTTCTCTGTCAATGTATGTTTGCAGCCTTTTTTGTCTTACCTTTAGTAAAACTTTACTCCAATGGGATATCAATGATAATGATGATTTCTACATTCCATTGGGTCATGTCTCTTTGGAATGGGCACAAATATAGATCTCTTCCAGTCAGTTGGCCAGGTAGTTGTCTTCCAAATTTCTTGGTATCGATGAGTGAGTGCCTCCAGTGCCACATCAGTTTGTTGAAAGATTTCAATTTGTGTTCCATCAATTTCCAGGGCCTTGTTCTTTGTTACTGACTTCAGTGCACCTTGGACTTCTTCCTTTAGTTCATATGATCATTGGCTTGTGATCACATGCCGTCTCTTGAAATGGCTGAACATCGACCTTCAACATATCCCACCTGAATTTAGAGATCATCTCAAGAACAGATTTGATGAATTAGACACTAATGGCTGAAGACCAGGAGAGTTGTTGGATAACATCAAGAACATCATATAGGAAGAAAGCAAAAGGTCATTAAGAAGACAAGAAAGAAGAAAACAACCAAATGTCAGAAGAAACTTGCTCTCCAGCATAGAGATGCTAAGGCAAATAGAAGAAATGAGGAAGTAAAAGAGCTGAACAGAAATTTTCAAAGGACCGCTCCAGAAGACAAGGTCAAATATTATAATGAAGTGTGCAAAGACTCGGCATTGGAAGTCCTAAAGGGTAGAACATGCTCAACATTTCTCAAGTTGAAAGAACTGAAGAAAAAATTCAAGCCTTGACTTGTGATATTGAAGGATTCTATGGGTCCTGGTGTGGAGCTGGGCGTTAATGTGTTGGACTTTAAAGTCGTTTGAAACACAAGGTTGGTGGTTCAATCTCACCAGCTACTCCTTGGAAATTCTATACAGGGTTGCTATGATTTGGAACCGACTCAACGACACTTAAAAACAACAACAATATGGGCAAAACATTGAATGATGCAGAAAGCATCAAAAGAAGATGGAAGGAATACACAGTCATTGTACCAAAAAGAAATGGTCAATGTTCAACCATTTCAAGAGGTAACATATGATCAAGAGCCAATAATACTGAAAGAAGTCCAAGGTGCACTGAAGGCATTGGCAAAGAATAAGGCTCTGGGAATTGATGGAATACAAACTGAAATCTTTCTCAACAACTGATGCAGCACTGGAAGCATTCACTTATGTATGCCAAGAAATTGGAAAGGCAGTTGCTTGACCAACTGATTGGAAGATATCCACACTTATGCCCATTCCAAAGAGAGGTAACCCAATGGAATGTGGAAATCATTGGACCATATCAATATCACATACAAGTAAAATTTTGCTAAAGAGAATTAAAAAGCAGCTGCATCAATACATTGACAGGGCTCAGACTGGATTCAGAAGGAGATGTGGAATGAGGACTATCATTGCTGATGTCAGATGCATCATGGCTGGAAGCAGAGAATACCGGAAAGATGTTTACATGTACTTTACAGACTACGCAAAGGCTTTCGATTGTGTGGATTATGACAAGCTAGGCATTAGGCAAATCTGCTGCACAAGACCTTTTTCAAGTGTTCAAGAGCAAAGCTGTCAGTTTGAGGTCTAAGGTACGCCCAACCCAAACTATGGCATTTTCAACAACCTCATATGCATATGAAAGTTGGACAATGAATAAGAAAAATCATAGAAAAATTAATGCATCTGAGTTATAGTGTTAGAGGAGAATTTTTAAAAAGCACCATGGACTGTCAGAAGAACAAACACATTTGTGTTGGAAGAAGTATAGCCAAAATGCTCTTTCGAAGCCAGGATGGCCAGACTTTGTGTCTCATACTTTGGACTTATTATCAGGAGGGACCAGTCCCTGGAGAAGGACATCATGTTTGGTAAAGTGGAGGGTCAGTGAAAAAGAGGAAGACCCCCCAATGAGATGAATCGACACAGTGGCAGCAGCAATGGTTGGCGCAGGACAGGGCGGTGATTCATTCTGTTGTACGTAAGGTTGCTATGAGTCAGCATTGACTTAATGGCACCTAACAACAACAACAATAAAAAGGGACTTGGTGAAACTGTGTTGTTTGATATTGTGTGAATGAGTTTACATTTTTGTATTCCTGGAACTAGCATTGTGCTTGACTGATTGTTACT